GGACAACTAGGTTGCCTTTTTGGGTCCTTATGTGCAGAATAAATTCCTAGCAGTACAGTTTTTCCTTTTATGCATGTAGCATAGTTCACACTCTTACTCTGTTTTTACAAACCCTTAACAGGGTTGGTATTATCAGACTCTTTTGCCTATCAGATAGATGGAAAAAGTCTCCTTACTTTCATTTATATTTTTAGTGACGTTGATAGATTATATGGCTTTTCATGTGTATCAGTCATTTCTTTTTCTTTTTCTTTTTCTTTCATCTACCTATTATGTCCTTGGCCCATTTTTTTGTTAGGTTTTATTTTTCTAATTTTATGACCTTTTGGTAAATTAAGGAGATTAACTTTTTATCATGTGTTGTAAATATTTTTTCAGTGTATCTATTTGGCTTTGACCTTGCTATTTTCCCATAAGCAGTTTTATAAGTTTGAACTTCTCTTCTTTTGTGTTTAGCTGTGTGTGTGTATGTGTGTGTATGATTTTAAGTATATGGCAGTTCCATCAATTGAGCATCAATCAGAATGAAGAAAACTATTTTCTGAAACTACGATATAAATGGAAATTACATTTACAATTTTTCAAGAATATTTTTATTCTCAAATTTTAAAAAACCTGTATATGTATCTTATCAATGTATTGATCATTTAACTAAATATTCCCTTTCTGAGATAAATACCTATACAGGGTTTAGGAAAGTAATTTTGCAAAAACTAAAACAAAAACCCTGTTTAGGCTGTGAAGCATTTCTTGGATTCCTTGGCTGGGCCCCCCAAGCCTTAGCTGCTAAGAGTCAGTTCTACTGAATGTACTTTAGAGCAGCTTCTTTTAATAGTATCTTTTATAATTGCATGTGTCCACTGCTTCTGCTGCTCCTTAATAGCTGTGCTTGGCTTCAGTGAAAATGGTTCCTCTCTCCTCCCTGGAGACCTGTAAATTTAAAAATCTGTGTATTTTGGGGGGATGGGTGGAGAAGGAGGATGGGAGAGAAGGGGTGGGAACTAGGTGGGTTTTTTTTAAATTTAATTTTATTTTTTTTACTGCCTCTATTTGAGGTGGTCCAACTTGAATTAATTTGATAGCTTTGCAGTGATAAAGGATAAGAGAGGGTTTGGGGTTACTTAAATCAGTGTTTTAGAATGGCTTAATACCGCTTAGTAGATCTCAGGATTGCTCTATACTGTGGTGTTCTGATGTATGAGGACTGCTCCATATCTTGAAAACAGGAAAAATTAATAATGTCCTAAGAGACCAGATTACAGGCAGTGCTTTAAAAATAAGTCAGTTAGCTATCGGTTTGGGCACGTATTCTTTTTGTTTTCATTTTTTTCTTCCTTTTCTAATTCCCTGGCGTTAGCATACATGCACAGAACGCTTAATTATCCTAACGTTATAAATAAAAGGAATATCTCTCAAAACAGTTCAGCAGTGCTATGAAACAAAAAACTGCCAGAACTTCTGGAGGTCACTGGGCATAGCTTCTTTAGAGTTGGAAAAATGCCTTCTGCAGCAGGGTGCTTAGTCACTAAATGTTTGGCATCAGAGCATTATCTTAAAGGTCATCAAATTCATCCTGTCTGTTCAGTCCTGGAATAACACTCCACTAACCTGGCAGCTGATCGAAAACAATATTGATGAGGAACAAAGACTGTTAATGAGGATGACATTCATTGTTTCCAAGAAACCCATGAAGCAGGCTCTATGAGTATCATCTTTGTTTAACCAATTAGGAAACTGGGACACAGAGAAGTGAAGTAACTTGGCTAAAACTTTCCACCTAATACGGGTTAGGGGCAGGCTTTGAATCCAGGCTGCCTAGCTGAGGTCCTATGTTTTTTCTTTTTGTCTGTTTGTTTGTTTGTTTTTGTTTTGTTTTGTTTTTTGAGATGGAGTCTTGCTCTGTCACCCAGGCGGGAGTGCAGTGTCATCATCTTGGCTCACTGTAACCTCGGACTCCCTGGTTCAAGTGATTCTCCTGCCTCAGCTTCCCAAGTAGATAGGATTACAGGCGCTCACCACCACCCAGTTAATTTTTGTATTTTTAGTAGAAACGAGGTTTTGCCAGCCTGGGTGACAGAGCGAGACTCCGTCTCAAAAAAAAAAAAAAAAAAAAAAAA